TATTTCCAACCAGAAATAAAGAACTCACATTCGACAATGCGACAGCAAACTTGACGCGCTTCACAAGTGGAGAGCATAAAGTAGGTACGTGAACCCACTTGGTTTCTGGCCAACAAAATATCGCAAAGGCTAGAGCTAGTTCATTTAGGGGATAAAAAAGCAAAAATAACGCGGGACTCAGTAGCCTTTCAACCAAATTTTCCGACAACACTATTTTTAGAAAGCTGCAGAAAGCCTTTAGGTGCTTGGCTTTGTCAACCTGCAATCGTAATCCCGCGCTTCCGGGGACAAGTGCACCATGCTTCTACTCTTATAGACAGACTCAATCTGACCAAATCTCGCTGTCACTAAGCACATAGGTGCACGGCTTGAGAACATTTCACTTTCCTACCCTTAAAAATGTATTCAAAAGCCTCGGGTTGTACGACTGACACTAGTTCGCGTGACGATGGCAACCTGCATGCAGTAAGCATTCGGTCACTAGACTAGGTGTAAGGTCAATGTAACCGGATTTGGAAACTGCTGAAACATTGTCGCAAAACAGTGGCCAGCTTTGAATGTCAAAAAAGATCATAACGAGGCAACAACTTTTTATGCTGTCACAGAGAAAAACTAGGCTTTGCGTTTGAACCAAAAGTGTTCGTTTTAGGATTTATATGCCATGTAGAATATAAGCAAAGCGAGGATACCTCCTGTAGAACCGGCAAATAATTCTTCTGTTGCATGTAGTGGATAAGGAGAATGGCGAAGGCGTACGACGAAATACCTCCACTGTCGGCCTTGGCGATTTTACAGTTCTGAGAACAGGAAGGAGTATAGAGTTTAAAAAGGGAGAGCAAAAAAGTATCAATGATTAATTTAGCGGTCACATTGTCTCAGCGCCTTAAACTGGCCTCTCGTCGCTTATCCAACTACTAAGAGAAGGCGACCGAAGAGACGTTGAGAACATTAAGCGGTAGCTGCAATAATTACAGCAGACAATGCTGTATAGTTTGAAGAAACAGGAAATTTAGCACACTTAAGTTGCTACGGAGTCAATAGCATGGTAAGATGTGTTAGTTCGATCATCACAAGCGAAGATGTCCATGGTAAGATACAGTGTCTCCTTTGCGTTTTGACATACCTATGGATCGTATCAGAGTATAAACAGTATTTGTAATCGAACACCTTTAAATAAATTACATAGTTATGGACCAAACCGATGAACGAATTTTTACTCATGCAGTCCCAAAAACGAAGGTTTCCTTACAGGGAACAGTTGAAAAGGCAAAAGGAAACAAAAATGTGAAAGAACCTTGATCACTATTTTCAGCGCGGTGTTGAGGACACGTAGGCGTGGGTCCAGCTGATTGTAAGTCCTCAGCATTCGAGTGTTTTTGGTAGCCTTGGATAGAAATAAAGAAGAGATAGAAAGCTTGGTAAGTGAACTAAGCAGCAAAGGACTGATACACAGGCAGGCGATGCAAAAACATTCTACGGCACAGAAAAATACTTAACAGGGACTGTAATACTGAAGAGTACGCGAACAGGCCATGGTACT